TTATTATATTATACTAGTTTTATAAATAACATAACCAGTTGTTGTATGAGTAGTGATTATAAAAAATTGTAATACCTATTTAATGCATTTGACTTATTTGTGTTTCATACATAGCCGTGCGCAGACCTGAATTTCAGGGGGTGCCTGTAATTTTTTCGGGCCCTTTTCTCAATTCAGGCCCTCTCTTAACAATACATGTAGGTATGCATGTTAATGTGTTTTTTATAATTTGATTAATAATTTATATTTTATGGTTCGACCTAAAGCATTCTTATTGGTTGGTAGCACGATTTAAGATATATTAAATCATATAATATATTTAAATTTTACACTCAGTATTTTTACCTTTAAAAAATAATTTATACTTAAGTTTAAGTTTACTTTAAATTCTTCAACATCAAAGTATTTTCATCATAAAGACACATACTAAATGAGTTGACATTATAATTACAACTAATTGGTTTTTATAATTGATAATAATAATAAAATAAATAGTGTAATCAGACGAAAAAAAAAACAATTTTTATAGAAGGAGATGACCTATGGAAATATGGGTAAAATGGGTAGAATAGTATACGCATTGGGCAATTACGGCAGAGAAGGGGCTAAGTTTTAAAATGTACTTTTTTTTTAAATTTTTATATCTGGTCACCATAATTATATCACATATTTATCAGTGGTATTACTAATACCAAATTATATAATATTTCATTAAATAGTTGAATTTAAAATCTATTTTCAAGATAATTACAATATTTATTTATTATTTTTACTTTTGTAGTCAATAACATCTAGCTGTTATAATCATAATAAGTTTTACCACACAAATTTAAAATATTTTACGTTGTATTATTTTTTTTATCCCAAAACATAATTTTTTTTACCACATATTTTAGAAAAAATACCATTTTTATTCTAGTAACATTAGTTAAAATACGGCCCATATATATGCTATAGGACTTAAATTTTAGGGCCCCAATTACATGTCGGGCGGTGCCCAGGCACACCCGGAACCCACCGTGCGCACGCCTATGGTTTCATATGCTTAAATATTATTTACTCCATGTGACAACACAATATTAGATAGATAATGTATTATTATTCAAATTTCAGTTGTTAATATGATAAAAAGTCAACGCACTAAAAGGCGAAAAATCAGGAATGATCTTGCAGTATTTAACAATAATAACCCATCAAAAATTTATTCTCGTATAGAGTTGATTACTACCACTGATGATGAGTTGATAACCAGAGAATCTTCACTATGTCAATCCATTCAAAATCCCGATGTATTAGTTTTAGAATCAGAAGTAGTAGAACCTGTAATATCAAATTCTTTGCCTACACCAATATTTACTGGTCCTAAATCGACTGAAATTACTGATGATCAATCGGAATCAAATAACATTAAGGATTTTATTGCTTCTTGGGCTATTCAGTATAAAATTCCTCATAATGCGCTCAACGGACTTCTATCTGGTTTAAAAAAACACAAATGTTTCCAAAGCCTTCCTCTTGATGCAAGAACTGTTTTATGTACTCCAAGTCAAATTTCTAAAACTATTAAAACTCTTAAACCTGGGACTTACCATCATTTTGGTTTGGTCTCTGGTATTAAAAGATATGCTCCAGAAAATTCATCAGAGCTGAAAATTGCTGTTGGTATTGATGGTTTACCCTTAAGTAAAAGCAGTGGAAATCAATTCTGGCCAATATTGGCATATATTATTTCAGAATTTTCAACTAAAAAAGTATTTCCAATAGGAATTTACTACGGTCAGAGTAAACCAGAAGACAGCAATGAATTTCTTTCAGAATTTGTTGAAGAAGCTGATGATTTAATGAAAAATGGAATTAACATAAATGATGTTATTATCAAAATATCTATAAGTTTCATTTGTTGTGATTCGCCAGCTAGAGCATTTGTTTTACGTGTTAAAACACATTCTGGATTTCATTCTTGTACCCGTTGTTTCATTGATGGCGATTATCAAAAAAATAGAGTTTGTTTTCCATATTCAAATAGAAAATCTACTTTGAGGGATCATAATTCATATATAAATATGGTAGATGAAGATTATCACACATCAGAATCTCCATCAGTTTTAGCCAAATTGAATGATTTTGATTTAGTAAAATCATTCCCCCTCGACTACATGCATTTAGTTTGTTTGGGGGTAATGAAAAAGTTATTATTACTTTGGAAATCTGGTCCATTAAAAATCCGTTTACCGTCCAGAGATATTAAAGATCTGTCAAAATCGTTATTAGCATTAAATACTGATATTTCATCAGACTTTGTTAGAAAGAGTAGAAGTCTTTTTGAAGTTGGACGCTGGAAAGCTGTTGAGCTACGATTTTTTTTACTTTATTCAGGACCAGTTGTTTTAAAAGCTAAATTAAATGATGAATGTTATTCTCATTTTATGTCTTTAAGCATTGCTATGATTATACTTCTTAGTCCAAATCACAAATCACTTGTCAATTATGCAAGACATTTATTAGATTACTTTGTGAAACAATTTCAAAATTTATATGGTGAATACCTTGTATCACATAATGTCCATACTTTATTGCATCTATGTGACGATTATGATAAATTCGGACCACTTGACCAATGTAGTGCGTTTATTTTTGAGAATCATATGAAAGAATTAAAATCTTTTTTAAGAAAACCAGAAAAGCCATTAGAACAGGTTATAAATAGGTATTCAGAAATAAACTCAATTAGCGTGAACACTTTCAAAAATATACAATTGAATGAGAAACCGGTTTTAAAAAGACTTCATACAAATGGTCCATTAATGGATAATATTTTTGGAGTTCAGTATTATAGTTTATTTTTTTGTAATATACATATTGTTATTCGAAAACAGAAAGAATCAGATAGTTTTATTTTAACAAATAATGGAGAAGTAGTTAAATGTCTTAATATTATAGAAATTAATAACAATATTTTAATATTAGGAAAAAAATTCTATCATGTAACACCTTTTTTCATTGAACCAATAAATTCAACTATACTAGATATGTATCAGGTCAAAAATATGTCAGAAACTTTAAATTATTGGAATATCACAGATATAAAAAGAAAAATGATGATTTTCAACCATGATAAAAAAATGATTGCTGTACCCGTAATACATACAGGAGAACAATTTATCTCATCTGGTATAATTATTTTTACAAGTTATATAATTTTATTATATAATATATTAATAATTTTAAAATCAAAAATAATTAAATTTAACTTATAAATCTTTGACTGTTATTTTATATAATTATTGTTTCATTTTCTTAGTAAGTTAATTTTTGATTTATAGATGGCTCGATGGGAAGTCGTCTTATTCTATAAAGATAATAGTATAGAAGCAGTGCCCGATACGTGGGTTAAAAAAGGACTTTGTGCTTGGCCAAAATCATCAAAAAATGTTAAACAATTAATTAAAAATAGATATAAACCAAATAAATCAGATTTTATATACTATCCAGCACGAACATTAGGAACTAAAAACTTTGGTAACTATTACCACATACTTACCAGTATGATATTATTTTTAATTTACCTAATTTGTGTTGTAGCAACATTAGCTGAAGCACAAGCCAAGCTTCCAAGAGCTGCTATTCATTCTGACTTATCTACTGAAGATGAGGTGATTAAAGAAAAAAAGAAAAAACAAGCTTCTCGCGGATTAAAAAGTGCAAAGAATACTCCTCCATTATATGCAGACATTTGCTCTAGAAGTTAGTTTTTGAAATACTCTCAGTTTTTTATTGAATTTTAATTTGTATAAAATTATTTTCATACATTTTCTATATCTTACACAAAAATAACAATTAAAAAGTTATTTGTTTAACTGATTAATCTTCAATATTATGTAAAATATTAAGAGTGTAATATTATTAAATATTAATTAACAATTATTTTTAGATCCTACTACAGTGATACAATCAAAAAGTAGCCCTATATTTTCAAACAAAAATGTTGATAAATTTTTAGAAATAGAAAATGATTATACTCATCTGGAATCATTGGTTGTTGACCATGCTGGGTCAATAAGTGATGTTCAGGATGATTCAGATAACGACCCAAACTGGGAAATTAAATGCTTAAAATATAAAGGTAAAATTAATAGTACTTAAATTTCTTATTATAACTAAAATTTTGAAAAAGAAACTGAAATATTTAGTTACAATATTTCAGTTTATGTCTGAAATTGTAGTAATTTGTTATCATATTTTATTTATAGTTAACGATGATTATTCATCTCCAGAACATATTCAACATGAAACAAGTATTGTATTATTTTCTCCTAACACACAGACCTGGAAAGTTGATGCATTGAATGAAACAGAACGAACTAAATTAGAACTCAATGATCAAGGTCCATTTAGATCACCAGGAAAATGGAACATTTCTAGTGTTACTGATGATAAAGTAAAATTAGCGAATGCAACAAGAACCTTGAATTTAGATGATAATATTAAAATTGTGTTTGATGGTGAGTATTATATCCACAATTTAATAATTATACATATTTTTTTTTTAAAACAATAATAATTTAATGTATATATTATATTATACTATTTTTGTTAGAATCAACTTCGGATGTAAGTACATCGAAATCTACAAATCTGCCATTTAATGTTAATGATAATACGTTCATGCCACTTCACGGTAATGCAAAACTAAATTAATATAATTAAATAATTTGCTTATTATTATTTAGAATATTGCTTACAATAATGCTAATCATTTATATCTTACTTAATATGTATAAGTTCATAATATAATTGGTGTTATTTATACCTACCTTAATATATTATTCTTGTGGTGTAAATATAATGCATTATTCTGTACCTATGTTAGTAAGCTATATCTATAATCTATATTTAAAAAATAATAATTTACATATCTTAAAGTAATATAAGCAATAGCATACTAATTTTATTATTTTATAACTGTTTTGTTTTAGATTTTCAAAAATTTGTATTTACTTCTTTAACACATTTTAAGTATGACATTGGTGCTATGATGCATATTGTTAAAGACACAAATGAAAAGGTTCAAGCACTCGTATCTAAATCAAATGAAAATAATTTTGTTTCTACACTATCTCTAGGAAAAAGTAGTTTGGATATGAATATTTTTCCTATAACTACTGAAGACGAACTTATAAATTTAGAAAAAAATATTGATGATGTTAATTTTAAAAATGAACTGGTAATATTATAAACCTTATTTATACAATTTAATTATTTTTATGGTTGACTTATTTATTCATATGTATTACCTTGTATTTTTCAATATTTAATTTATTTATTTTAGGTATGTAAGTTATCATTGTTGGTAGATATAAACAATTTAAACACCAGTGTGCGAAGAATAATTTCACGTTTGTGTGATGATACATTACTTTTAAACTATTCATTAACTGGATTTAAACATAATAAGACATTTAAAAATCTGAATATTTATCGTGTACTTATTGGTAAGAATATTATAATATATTTGTACATAATAATAAATCATTGTTATAACTCTCCTTACATTATTTACTTATTAGTATTTTCTGGTAATTATATATAATTAATTATTTGTTCAAGATGCTGTGAGAATGAACATACAATATAGTAAAGTTCCGGATCAAAAAATTGATGTTCCATTACGGGTTTGGTTGGATCATTCGAAGTTCAGAATCAGAGATAAAAAAGAAAAAAAATAATAACCACATTATAACTGTTCTTAAATTACTTATTAAATAAATGTTATTATTTTAATTAACTAAGCTTTTTTTATTTATTTTAAATGAGGTACAATATAAAAATATTCCTGGTATAATTAAATTAGAAGATTCTAAGAATTTTTTGACATAACTTTATGTGAATGTTATAGTCCAATGTTATAAGAATTTATTAAAAAATGTTATACAAACGTTTTGAGGTAGTGTTATAAGAACGTTTTTAGGTAAAGTTATAAGAAGGTTTTGAGGTAAAGTTATATGAACGTTTTAAAATAATGTTATAAGAATGTTTTAAAATAATGTTAAGTGAACATTACTTTTGTGGCCAAATAATTATGTCAGAATATTATCGGAACATTGAATAATTATGTGGAAATTAGTTTAAAACATTCTCAAAAGGTAATTGTTCTATTGAGAACATTCCTACAATTTTTTATTAACATTGTATTGCTGTCTGGGACTGTACGGATAAACATTGAGTCATAAATTATAT